GAAGGAGGAGTTTCTCTGTTAGTCTTTGGGGGATGATAGTATTAAACGCTAAGCTGAAGTCAATGTACAGGATTCTAGCATTGGTGTCTTTATTTTCCAGGTGGGTGATAACTGAGTGCAAGGTGGTGGATATTGCATCCTCTGTGGAGCGGTTGGGATGGTAAGGGAACTGAAGAGGGTCAAGCGATGCAGGAAGACTGGCTGTGATGTGTGGTTTGACGAGCCGTTCAAAATACTTCATCACAATCAGTGTCAGTGCGATGGGGCGATATTCATTCCGACCGGCTACAACTGATTTCTTTGCCACTGGAACTATGGTGGATGTTTTGAAGCATCTGGGGACAATGGCCTAACTGAGGGAGATGTTGAAAATGTCAGTCAGCACATCTGCCAGCTCGTCAATGCAGACTGCTGGTCTGGAGGGGTTAGCCTTTAGTCTAGCATGGATCCCGGCTCTCTTCCTCCTTCTTTGTTTACGTTCGTATCACTTGCGCTTCCCTCTCTCTTGGGTAACTGCCGGCGTAGTCTCCCATAGGATTCTGTGTTGACGTAGTATGTACAAATCACAACCGATCTCCGCAGTTTTAGCGCTGTTTATTGTCCTGATGTTCAGCAAAGTCTCTCGGCTTTAAGTTTTGCGGAATGAACGTCTGGGATAGGAAAGACACTCAAAACATTCACTTTCGGTGTCTCCTAACAGGGCCACTGCGTCCATTCGCGCCGCCATCACCATGACAAACCAGATGCAACAAATGGAAACAAGACTGACCCTCAACAAGGATATCACACCAATCTACGCTTATTTTAAGCTCCCTGGGATCCAATTTTTTTGCCCTAAACCTTTTGGCAGTGAAAGAAATAAGACAATACCTGTACTTCTGCTTTTCTCTGCTTGCATAGTGTTTGCCAGAAAGAATCATCTATTTTAAATGAATCCTTCAATTTGCTTCATAAGCTTTATTACCGACAGACATCACACTCATATTATTAAAGTCACTCACTGGGAGCTGTGGACTGGTGAGGAGACATGTTCAATCTGCATATAAACGTGTGTGTGAGTGAAGGAGTGTGTTTTATTTCAATTACTCCTGTATGTTACCCTCAGGCAGCTTAGTGGGTGCAACACCCGTGGATCTGTTGTCAAACAACTGCTACACTAGAATGTAATTACAGACAGACCATGCAACATTCGCAAAAAGCTACAGTGATTATGTTGTCATTCTTCTGATCCTTCAAATCTCACATGAACGAGCTCTTTGTTTTTGAATGTAGTTAACAAGAAATAACTTTTTTCTTTTTTTTTTTTTTTTTTGGTGAATATCGGAAATTACATTTGATACTCACACTACATGGACGGCCACTCAGGGCTCTTGTGTCTGTTTTCAGAGTGTCGAATAAAAGCAAACCTGAGTTTTTCTGTTGTAAATGCAAAGCTGGTCTACAAATTAAAAATGTACAAAAAATACAAATAAAAACCAGTATTCACTGTATGTTTGGTGATATGTTACAACTATTTGCAATATAAGAAATCACTGACAGTTTAGGTCAAGTTATTAATGAGTGCTATTGATCCCCTCCAGAGATAACTGCTAATTTCTCCAAAGGGAGGCAGAGCAGGAACATTCAGGTTGGACCAGAGACATACTGCATAAATACTGTGGCTATTACAGTGATTTAGCAAATTTAAGTCATTTGCTACAGTGATTATGCATGCAGCAATGTGTGACTGAAGTCTTTAACTTACATTTAACATTGAATAAGTCTGTCTATTTATATTGATTCAACTGCAATTAAGTTAACTTGATTAGCTTCAGGTTACACATCATTATCAGCGGCTCACACCTTTTCTGAACTGCTACTAACTGTATCCTACTCTATAAAGCCGATTGCTGTTCCCAGCACTTCAGTCTCCTGTTTAGTATGTCTAATATTGTCTTTCTGAAGATCTAATGGTCATTTATGTGTTTGTTATTTAGAAACGGAGCTCTTTCAGCACTGTGTCCTTCATTATTGTTGAGCGCCCTCTCGATAATATAATTATAGTATAATTATTTGAAAATCATTGACTTGAATGTCTCTCATTTCATTAATGCTGGGTGAAATATTGAACCTATGGAAACAAAACCTGAATTGAAAACACACAAAGATGTACAGGTACTTTAAAAAAAATGCACTAAAAATAACAAAACATAAAATACAGACATTAAAAAACAAACAAAACAAAACAAAAAAAACAGTTTTCATTAAAAGGTTAGTTTTCCGTAATTGTTCTTTGTTTGACCATAAACTTGCAAGCTTAGTATTATATTTAATTTAGATTTTTTGATGTATTTATTTATTTTAAATTCTGCAGTGTTTTCTGATTGTAACCTGCAACATTTTCCTTCTCGTCAATCTTTTTATCCAGACAGTGTCTTTTCAGCATCTGTGGTTTTCAGTTTCAACTCTCTTTGGCATGGAAGGGAGGTGTTGATAGGAGGGGTTAGTGAGAACATGATTACCATATAATCTGCATATAATTTCCATACTGCAAAAAGAGCATCTCTCCTCCTGACTCGCGCTCTGCCTGAAGCATGGATGTATTTATGTGTAATACATCCATGCTGGTGGCATTGTCTGATAACATTTTACTAGATTGGCATCAAATGTTAAAAGACAGTGAGGGTTTCTGTGACTTTCTGCCCAGGCTAAAGGCTGCTTGTAACTCTCTGATTTGATCACAGCTTTTTGTCTTTGCCCAATGCTGCTTCCAATGCCTGCCCTCACCTTCTGTACAGATGATGCTGTTAATCTCAAACCAGTCTAACGCTGCGTAGCTTTACAACTAGCCTCCATTAGTTTAAGTAGAACTCCCACACCTCGAGTAAGCTGTTTTTCTTGGCTATTGTGTTTTGTTTTGTTTTGTTGTTTTTAACATAGACTGGGCATCTGCTGGGTTAAAGTTTACTTTCAGCAATAGCTCAATAGTGTCAGTCTGGTTTGTTAGCGGTCAGCCTTGTGCTTCCTGACCCTGCTGCTCACATTACTGCACTCAACTCCGATGTACTGGGGTAGCGGCTGCCGAATATTTTATATGTTTATGAAAACTTCTACAGCAGCCATAACACTGACCTCTAACTTCTAAGGAAATAAAAATACTTTACAGGGTGTGAGATTTGGCTGCCATTAACCATACACTAACTCTGTTAGCTCTTGTTTAAGCACCAAACCTATATGTTGTTAATGAGTGTCCTGATCAATAGGGATAAATAGGGTTTCCTACAATGAAACTACAAATGTTCCACCAAAACAACCCCCCACCTTTTGCAGGAACCATGTTGCTGCATCCTTTGCTTGGCTCCGATTGTCATTGGTTTTAGAAAATACAATCACCCTAGGGTGTTTTTTCCCTTGTAGAAATATAATAATGAGGTTCAGCCAGTCAGATTGTGCGAGACTGCCATTTTAGTATTTTGAAACTGACAAGTGATGGGTGGGTCTGGCTGAGAACTGGAGGACATGATGTACAGCCATATGGCAAAGACTAGTCAATGACAAGGTAGCCACGCCCTAAAGCACACCCTGCTTTATCATCTATTTTACTCTCAACGGGACTATAATTCCCAAAATGAACACCATGCTGTTTTGAAGGAGGCTTGCAAAGAGGGATTGAGACCATAAATTCATGAGGAAAATGTTTACTGAGATAAGAAATCCAGTAAAAGGTAGCTTTTCTTATAGATTTCTATATAATCAGACTTATTTTTGCAGCTAGAGGAGTCGCCCCCTGCTGACTGGTACAAAGAATGATGAAGATGCCTCTTCCACATTGGCTTCACTTCTGAGACCTGGATGTCCATCTTTTATATGTGGTCTACAGTTAAAACTTGAAAACAACTGAAAAGAAAAAGTGAGCATAAAAACAATGACATCAAAATGAACTAAGGTAACAGGTCAAACACTGCAAAAGCACTAAAAGATTTTGTAAAGATTTTTATTTTTTTTAATGATTATTATTCAAAGCTGTGATTTGTTTTGTATTTTTCAGTGCAACTTTTTTTTTAGTGCCAATCCCTTTTCAGTACCAGTACATCTTTTTTTTTTACTGAAAGTGTCTAATTGCCAGTGTTTCCTTTTTCAGTGAAGGTTTCATTTTCAATGCCAAAGTTTATTTTCACTACCAAAATTTAAAGTCAGTGTTCTGGCTTCATAGAAATCTGTTTATTAGGGCATGTGTGTTTGTGTGTATGAGAGAGTAAAATCAGAGCAAGGAAAGAGTCGCCAGAAGGCTGTTTTTTCCTCTTCCCTTATCACATTACTGCCCAAGTGTTTAACAGATAATTTGTCAGTAGCAGCTGCAGGAAAAAAAGTCACAATATCATTAGGTTTTGTTTGCCGTTTCTTGTTGCTATCAATCAGGAGACCTTTAACATACAGAACAATCTTTAGTAATTTGACTATCAAGACTGTCTGTCAACAGCGAACGTGTTTGTCTGCATGCCCTCTGGATGCACAATCAACCAGCCTGTCAGTCTTCTCACTGACGCCTGCCACACAATGCAGTGGTGGCATTTGGGGAAAAAAAAGACGAACAGGGACATTGTTCGGCCCGTAACTGAATTATTCATAACCTTGCACATTTAATCAAAGATGAAGAGCCAGCTGCCGTGATCGGATATCTCACTTCGTAGCTGGCTTTACACCATTCTTGAGTTTTTTATTGACATTGAATTATATCAGAAAATGATGTTCTTTTTTATCTGGCGTTGTGTTAGAGTGAGCGTGGTGAGGGTGCAGTAGCCATTTCCACATATATTAGAAAATAAGAAAAAACACTTTAAGCTAAGTGACTTCTATTACATTAAAGCATCTATCTTCTTTATGAGATGCCATGAAGATGCCAGATAACCAACATTCTCTCTGCATACATTTGGACTAAAAGGTCAGGCTCTATGATAGAGACCAACATCCCATCGAACACAAGCTTGCTCAAAAATATACATGTAAAGCAAGACACTTACTGATGTGTACAGGAAGCCCTCACTGTTCATAGCCAGATAGAGTTTGGTCTGCACCCCCTGGATGGCCACCACTCGCAGCCCCACTGGAATAAGGTTGAACATGGCTGGAAAGAGACAAAACAGAAGAAAGAAAGGATAAACAAATTGATTTAATATACTTATCATATAGATATATATATATTTTTAAATAGAGTAATACATTAAAAACAGAATTTATGCAAATATCACAAATTGTAATTTGGTAAACTCTGCTTGGTTAACCATGTAGCATTCACCAATAAGGTATTTTAATCGTTATTAGTGACTCGTATCTCTGTATGAATTAAAGAAAGAGTTGTCAAACCACATCCCATATACAGGAACAACATAAGGTCAGAGAGACACTATCACACAAACAAATGAACAAAATTAGAAGGTAGAAAGAGATATTATGCAAATCAACTTAAGAAATTATTACACATATGATTTGAAAACAGGCTTTTTAAAGTTAAAGTGTTGCAAACAATATATTAAACTCCACAAAATAAAAACATGGAAACAAACTGTGCAGCTGAATGCAAATCCTTGACAAAGCCGACAATGTTTTCTGGAGATTTTAAGTGCAGGAGGTGATTTCATGCTTGTTATCGGTCACTGTTGCAATAGTGAAATCCAGCAAATAGTGCAGGACATCTGGTGGTGCATTTGGTAATTTAATCACAGAGAATCATTCAGATAAAATAACTACATGGCACTGGCACCCAACAAAGCTACAGTATGCTTGGGGTTTTAGCTATGTTGTCGCAATGCTGTGTTGTTGCACAACTTGCACACAACACGCTCAACACACACACACACACACACACACACACACACACACACACACACACACATGCCGCTGAGTGGAAGTTGTTATTCTGAAAGTGCCAGCGGCGGCCCAGCTGGTCAGTGAGGTACATCTCACCCTAATTAGTGTCGGCCTGTACAGTATATGAGTGTGTGTATTTCATAAGGTGCTGGGCTGAACCCACAGGCTGAAATAAAGGGAAGCACATGAGCGTCCACCTGAGAGTCTCTTTGCCTGCTCCTGTTCCCAAAAAAGAAAACTTCTGCTCCATTGTACTGACTGTTCTTGGATATTACTCCCAAACATCGATGCCATCACCACTGCTATGAATTTTTAGTACCTTTTAATAGTCCCAAATACAGTAAATTATGTCCACAACAGAATCCTAACACTCCACTTAATTCTCCCTTTTTGAATGTTAGGAGTGTGTGTTGTTGCATTATAGGGACGTCTGAGTTTAGATGCCTGTGAGTTTCACATTGACACATCAGTTAAGCTGTGAGTCAGTGTGTGCTCTTACTATAGGTCCTCTTGTCAGCCACTTAGCAGATCCCTATCTGCAGACTCCTTTGAGCAAAAATGTACTATAGGGGCTTTTTGTTGGGCTATTTCATTTGCTGTTATCGCCTGAACGCTGCAGACCTTCCTTCTCTTCATGCTTTCATTGTAAACATGCCAAAAGACTGCATAATATATTTACTTTGTGGAGTAAACAGGTGTTGCCAGCATGTTCTTGGTTCATTGTGGAGGTATTTAAGTCCCAAAACAACCAGCTCTCTGGTTGTCTGTCTTGACTTTCTCTCTGCGCCCTCCTCTTTTTCATTCCATCTCTCTCAGTTCTGTTTGTTTCTTCAAATGCCACCTTAAGGGTCTTCCTAAATATACACTCTTGCCTGTCTCCGGTGACAAATAATATAATAAATAGCATACAACAATAATGAGGAAAAAAAAGCCAAGATTTTGAAGAGATTAAAAAAAAATCCAATGAGTTTACTTGCTAGCTGCTTTACAGAGACTCGACTGAAGACGAGAAATGTTTCTAAAACATCTGTCATCACAAACACTGCCTTTGTCTACCCTGTAGTATAATACTCAATAGCAGGCATTCTTCATGTTTTCCCTCACTTTTTATTTATTTATTTATTTGTTATATAATCAGACCTGCTGTTCATTTCTCCTGAACAGGACTTCTGTTAACTGATGCTGTTTTTGCACAGTAGAGAATCTGCCACTCAGCCTAAATTCCCACTTATACTTGCAGGCGCGGTATGGTTGAGTTACGTTGTTAACAAACTTCAGCTCACAATAAAACGGCGCCATCCCTCAAACACATAGTTAGTGACAGTCACACAGTACTCCAGCTATCAAAACGTGGCTCCCTGGGGAAAGTCAAACCACTCTATCTTGAAGCTTTTGAAATGACAGTTTGGCGAATCTTTTCTGGGAGAGTATCTTTGGTGATGCCTGCTTTTAAAGTCTCAAACCTGTTATTTACAACCTCTGCAGTACTTGGAGGTGTATTTTACAGTAACCATGTGCATTTATTAAGCTGACAGATTAATGAGGGACACACAGAGGAAAAAAGACAATAATTATTTGGATTGTTCCTAATTTACTGAAGGTACAATAAAGAATAAACTATAATTAGTGTGTGAACATAATTACTAAACTAGCTCACAGCAAATGCATTCTCAATAAATGATTGGAAGGTCTCAAGCCACAGACATGGGGAAACTAAGCGAAAGCAAGTTTCCATTGCAACTAAAGACTACACCGAGTTAACTCTTTCTACTTTTTAAAGCGTCCTTGAATGCTGCAATGCGGATGCTCAACCATTTCTTGCCAGGAATTCAGGTTACAGGATAAAGATGGCACTATCCGCAAACTTTCTCCACAGCCATTGTACAGATTGATCCATCTTGGCTTTGCTGTAAATAGAGCTACAGGGGATGTGAACAAGTGTTTTCATAAGAAACCTCTCCTCACTACTCTGGCAAACCAACAGGATTTGTAGTTTTATTTAAGTGTAAATTTGAATCTATGTAAAAACCTTTTTTTTTTTTTCTTCTTGTATATAGCAAGGTTTAGATTTGATGATTTGATGTCTCCCTCTCCCTGAAACATCTCGCTACATGAGCAGTTCTTGTCTTTATAATTGCACCCTTCTCGCTCTGCGTCACTCAACTGAGTTTTCTCCCTTGATACTCCCCCACCGCGATCTGCACGTACACACCTGCACGCTACTTCATTTCAGAAGGATTACCAGCCGGTGTACTGATGGAGATTTTCAAGAGGGGAAACTCAATTACTTCCTGGCTCCTAGAAACACCTGAGCACACTGAAGAGGATGACAGGGCACCCACCCACTCGCAGACCTTTCCTGGTGCAACACAGACACATGGAATAAGACAGCTGAAGAGGCCTGAGGGACAGTTTTCACAATTGCATTCAGCCTGTCTCCGTGTCTCAATTCTACCTACTAACAGCCGAGCAGTCACGGCCAATTCACCGTGACAATAAACCTGAAGGTCCCTAACAATAGCAAGTCACATTCTAAACGTTTGTCATATCTGTTACTCATTCTGTTAGCTGCATGCCGGCAATTAGAGCAGTCTGAAAATGACAACATGACAAAGCATTAGAGCCTAAAAGTAAGCTGTTGTGACAACATTACATGGCATTTCTGTGGTCTGATTAGTGTCGAACTACAGTGGCTCTCTGGCTGAGAAAACTGGGTTACTTCAATAAAAATACAAGGCTGAATTAGTTAAATAATGTAAGACTCTTGTATTTAGCTGCCAAAACAGCACGTCTGATGTGAATTACACATCAGTAGACATATTTCTTTGCCTGCTTCTGGGGTCCACAGTATCTATAATCTTGCTGACAATGAATTGTTTTATTTTAACAAGTTTTCAAATGTTTGCATTTGAATCTGTTTGCAAAGACAAGAAAGCCTTGAAAGAGTAGCATCTAGGACAAGACTGTAAATGGACTGCATTTTGAAGACTGAAACAGTACCCTCCTTCTCTCACAGAACAGGATTTAGAGTTGCCTCATGGTTCTGTCTATACCCAGTGGGTTTGCTCGCTTGTGATGCAACACAAGAAAATAGCTGATACTGTATAAACCGGGAGAGAAATGGGTGGGATTTGTCAGACTTGGATTTGTTATTCCTGACATTGTTTTCCTTCCTAATGAAAATGTCACGAAAATATCAAACGTCTTTATTGCTGCAGCCGAACGGCCAGAGTCTGTGTGTCTTCAGAGCTAGCTCTCGTAGCAGAGATCAGATCCTTACTTTCATGTGTGTATGTGTGTGTGTGTGTGTGTGTGTGTGTGTGTGTGCACGCATTTGAGAAGGTCCTCTCCCACCATCACAAGACACCAGTAGCTCCAAGAGGACTGCGCTCTCCGTCACCATGGAGACAAGCGCACCCAGCGCCTAACAACGCTATTTTTGGAGCAGTGCAAAGAGCTTCACTCTTTCTCCTTTTCCTATTCAGCAGCACTCTTTAATTTTCTCCTCATAAACTACTTTGGTGCCAATGCAGGCCAGTTACTATGCAAGTCAGTAGAAAAGTGAGTCCATGCAGATGTGATGGGCGGGGTGGTCGGTGTGTAAAGTGAGGTATAAGATTTAATTTCATTTTTATGTGGTGTTAAACTTTGTTAATATTTAATTTAAGAAGCAAATTCCACTCAAAATTACAAGGTGGTGATCTACAGAAGACAACCAACAGAGCTGCTGTTTATACTTAAAGCACACACAAATAAATTAAGAAACTCCCAGAAGTGTTTACATCCGCTTGGTAGTAGGATTACACATTAAGTATTACATGAAAGCTGTTTCAGTGCATCATGCAGATCTTTTCTTCCAACAGTATTATTCAGAACCAAGTGAATTTCAGCCTGGTAACTACCATTGTGCTGTTCTAACCATTAGAAAACACGTGGTGCTCATTGAACTAATCACAAGATGGTACATGTCTCCTGTATTGCTACCAGACAAGTGGCTGAGCTGTTACATTCCATTGATCTCCTCTGTAATCTATTGGAAAACAAAGAGCTGGTGGGTGTTGTGGCAATGATAGGGATGCATCAATACATAGCATAAGACAAAACAGGCTCTCGCCACAGAGACAGTGTGTAGGAGAGTAAAAAGCCTGTCATGATCTGTGTTCAGGTTGGTATAGAATGACTTTGTTTGGATAAAATTAAACAGCTACTCAGTGCTGCACCACTTAAATGCAATGACATAGACACACATAGTGTTTTACTCTGCACTGCGGACCATTATATCACAGTAGTGCAAATTAACAACAGAAGCACTTTTGAACATTTTGAAAGCTGTACAGTGCTAAAATTCAGAATGGAGTGAAACTAAGAAAACTATTGGAAGATAGAAGTTCTCCACTGCTTCTCTTAAGTGGCATGGATTTGATGTTGACACTTTGTTAGATGGTATATGACTTGTGTAGGGCTGTCTGTTGTGCATGAATTTCATATTCACAAGGTTAAAAGTTAACCCTGGCCAACAGCATGGCATGCCAATGGATCCATCCATCCATCCATTATCTATACACCGCTTAATCCTCATTAGGGTCGCCGAGGGGCTGGAGCCTAACGCCAATGAATGTATATTAAAAAAAAAAGAAAGACAACAACAACAACGGTGGAACTAAATATTGGAGTGAAACTTACTGTAACCATTGTCCTCCTCTTTTGTTCCATCAATGGTTCCATCTGCCTGCAGCTGCAGGTGGAAACCTTGTCGACTGTACAGCTTCGTCACTATCCCCTTCAGCTGGGGCTCTGTGAAAGCAGAGGGGAAACGCAGACAAGAAGACACAAGAATGAAACCACAGACTGCTAGGCAATGTCATTTGTAGCCTTTTAATGGGACATTTTGAAGCTTGAGGTTTACTGCTTGACATCAATTTAGAAGTTACTGAAGCCACAAAAATCCATTTGAGTCAAAGGGTAGTAATGCTGAGTGGAGCAGAGGTGGGACAGAGAGGAGCACTTAGGACAGCTGATCGTGATGGACTGAGACACTTCTATCAGTCACGCAAACAGAATTCGAAATGGCCAGCAAAGACGTGTCAGAAGAAGAAAATTCACCTATGTAGATTTGACTCCTCTTGTGGAAAAGAATTTGCCATTTTAATGCAGTTGTGTGTTGCTAGATAGCCTCAGAGCTGGAATCTTGCAATCATTAGAAGAGCTGCAGTTTAAGATGTTTTCACATTGGCTTCAAATGTCGCGGTGGTTCCCACTTAGCGGAATCAAAGTGTGTCAATGGCGAAATGGTAAGAGTCAGAGTTTGATCAATGCTGCTGTCTCCACAAGCAATGAGCATTGGCAGACTGTCTTTTCTCTGCACTGGACCAGAGGTGACTAAAAAAAGTAGCCCCAGTGGCTTAGCAAGACATAAATAAGACCACAGATGGACGAGAGCCAAAAGTATCAAAATTAAAAATGGCTCCGGGGGGCATTTGGTGGCTCAGTGGCCCAAGATGGCTGAGGGAAATTTCCTGCATGTCACCTCTCTTTATCTCTCCATGCTTCCTGGCACTTTCTACTGCAATAAAGTTGGAAGAAAGGTAGCATAACACATTATTTTTAAAGCTAAGTAAATACAAATTTGAACTTTAGTGAAATCTAACATTAAACACCCACAAGAATAAAAAATAGTCAATTCTGAACTATAAAGGTAACTGAAAATTAGTTGCAAATGGGAGAAATTCAGTGCTGAGGCAGTGAATGAGCCAAGTTTTTCAAATATCTCTCAGGATATTTAAAAACATAAACTAATGATAATGGTAGTAGCTTTACTCCTAAAACGGGCAAAAGCTGCACTGTGATGTGCAGCAAGAGAGAAAAACAAGCATCAGTGGGTCTAAAAGACAATAGTTTTAAGTGTTAGTGCGGGTTAGCCTGTCTGTGTCACATCGGAGTATGATGAGAGCTAAGTGCTCTCCATTTCTCTGGTTACTATCCCTAGTGGAGTGTCCTTTACTGTGGTTAACCACACCTTTCATCTATCCTTTCATCTCACTTATCTTGCAGTACTGCCAATTCGATCCTTACTAAGGTTACTTTTGCTACACAGAAAGTTTATCCAGCCTCTAAAGCGGGGATATTGTCATGATTTTGTTGTACAACTTTGTACATTTCACAATCGAGTTATGACACTTAGACAAAAGAACAGTAGCACGAAGCCTTGTGTGCATCAGACCTACAGCTGCACACACTCTACATCAGCATGTACACAAAAGCACCGCAGAATATGATCGTGCACACACAGCATTATGTGACAATGCACCAAACCACATACAGACAATACTGTATTTCGTAAAGATGGCAGTTCTGTGTGTTTTTAGTGAGCTACGATGTGTAAGTCACACGCAGACAACGCCTTCTTCTTGGCACTCATTGCTTCCTCCACAGGATAGAAATGGAAATTGGAAGTGAGAGGGGTGCAAAAACTGTAGGATAGTTATACTGTTATATAAACATGCACCCTAACCGTCAGCTGTATTATATACAGAGTTATAAAACCGGTTGAAAATGAATGATGTAGAAAAAATAGAATAAAACTGTGGAGAAAACACTGATGTATATTGTAAAACATCAAGATACTGACACTCCTGACAAAAGGTAAGCTTTGGGCCTGACTAAGATATGATCAGATCAGATGATCGCTTTTACACTGGATTTGTAAAGGAGCGGGTGCTTTAGGCACTTCTGTCACTGCAAAAATATGAGTAAGAGCAGACACTCCAAGCTCACACTCAGACATGTATCACATGTCTAGAGATACAGCAATACGCTGTACTTGTTGTAAGAGTAGAAGTATATGGTTACAATATCTCTAGTTTTATTTTTGACCATCAGGTACAGCTTATTTCTTCTTATCTGCCAATGTTTTTTTCAGCTGGATAAATTTCAGCAACAAAGAACTTGGCAATACTATGCGGGGAATATAATTTTGGAGCTAATTGTGAGGTCTGCTTAAAATTCAAAATAAAAGTTAGGACCTGCTTATTTAAATCTGTGTGCCAACCTGTGTCTGTCTCAGCGATTATGAAACTGTATGCTATTTAATCTGTTCTCTCCACACCACTGAGTATTAATGGTATTAAGCCATTTTGGAAATAGATAATACAGAAATTTGACTTTGTTCCAGTTTAATTTGAACTGTGAACCATGACTTGTTAGTTACAGTAAAGTTTAAAATGATTCACTGAGTAAACATTTTTGTGTATCTAGTTCCAGTGTGGATAGAATAAAGGGACAGTGAAGGATTATGCATCTGTTTAATACATCCCTCAGCGCAACGTGAGATGCCAGAGGTGACTTCTCTGTGGATAAACTTGATAAGGAGCCTCCTCATTCTCTCAGCAACTTTGGCAGAGTCATTAATCTTTCAGAGGAATTGAGCAGCACTAAGTACATGCTATCTTGTTCCACTGATTTTTAAACACAATGGCATCCTAAAATAGACGAAAAGTTAGTGATCAAGGGGATAAGAGGCTGAAGAATTCGTACAACAGACCTGGTCGTCTCCTTCGCCTCTTCTTGGAACCAAAGAGTTTGACCCGTGAGAAAACGTTCAGTCGGCTGGGTTTTTCACAGCTTCCTTTGGTTTTACTGGGGCTGCTAACGCAGCGGCAGGCATTAGACTTCTCCCGCTCCCTCGCCTGCCTTTTCTGCCTGATGAGGGAGCTGGCAATCGCTGCCGCCATAGCCAGTTTGGCAGCGCTCTGGAGAAAACTTCCAGAGAAGCGTGAATATAATCACCCCCTTTGAATCCAGAAAATTGGATTCTGCAGGGAAATGTCCAACAATCTGAGGCAGCAACGATACGTAAAATAAAGAATTTGCAAAGTGCACTAAATGGTGTAATGGAATAGTCCCAGAGGTGCGGTAGAGCCAGTTAGATAATGTCCAAATGAATCATTTTTTTAGACGGTATTTAGAAGTTGTCCGTTGTATCTCCGAGAAAAAAGTGAAATTTAACAAAAAATAAAAACCACACGTTCCAGCCGAAGCTTTACAAAGACTTTGACCACAGCACGCTGCATGTTCCTCCAACTGTATCATTTTCTCTGTAGCACAACAAATACGCACAAAGCCCGTCTCTGTAAGCGGTTTTGCATCATCCCACTAAACTACATGGCCGCGCACATGGTGATCGTGCAGGCAGATAGTCGTGAATGAAGCTCAGCGCGCAGCCATGGATGGAAACACCTGTTTGCGGACGCCGGGAGAGTGTTTGCGCTGCTCTTTATCTGGTTTCTCTAATCCTTTGCTGAAAGAAAGACACTTAAAGCGCGCTTTGGAAATGCAACGCAGAGGATGTGCACGAATCACTACGGAGACTCCATTAGTTTTTCTCTCTTTTGTTGAAGCGCAGCAACGCAAGGTGATAGCAGGAGGCGCCTCATTCTGGATCAGTATCCGAGCGCAGCGCAAACACAAACTCAGCTGTGCTGCTGAGAGCATCCCACCTACAGCCTGGAGAATGAGCAGTGGGGAGGAGGGAGAGGACGGGGAGCCTAACTAGTGAGACACAAACCCAGTCAGTGCGCACAGTTAGACAATGCATATCTGCATACAAGCTGTCAGGTGCGATAATTCATATTAAATATGAAGGGAGAGAGGCGTAGATGGTGTGGGGGCGGGAAGGTGGACAAGAGAGAGGGAGAATAGCTCAGCACACATTTATGATACTTTTTCTTTCACAGGACTGGACAGAAAGTCACGGGGGGAAAAAGGCATTTTTGTTTTGTTTTTTTAGTGGTGCAGCTCAGTTGTTCCCAGATTTTAAACTTCATTAAGGGCCTCCAACCCTCCAACCGTGCATACGTGCAGTCCTTGTTCTCAGACTTTACAAAGACAAATCACTACAATAACCAAACATATTCATCCACTCATTTTACTGCCTGTTTTAACGTGCGTAAAATTGCGAGGAATTGAACAGCAGGTAGGCATCGTTAGACGTCAGCAGTGATGTTAATGCAAAAATGAATATAGTGCAGCAATGAAATAAGATCCAAACAGCCTGATGCAGGTGGATTTAACGATGCCATTAACACCCTAAATAATTATTCGCCAGTCACGTGTTATCATGGCAATAATATACAACGCCCCATACCGCTAAGACGTCTGTCAACGCTTATAATAGGAAACGGCTGATAAATTGTGAATTTGCGTAATGATAAGGCCAACTTTAAAAAGTGTTTTGTGCATTTTTTCAGCAGCTGTACACTCCAGACCAAAGGTTACGGTCCCACACTGTGATTTCCAAGTCTGACTTCCAGCCTCATCGCTCCTTTGCTTTCCTCAGAACTGAACTGAGCACATTTAACACTAACCAATGGTGCCATCTACAGTCCTCTAGCAAAACTGTCGCAAGCTTGTGATTGATTTCCTCATTTTTAAGTATGTATATATAGAATACAAACAAGCAAGACAGGTAAAGGTGTTTTTTTTTGTTTGTTTGTTTGTTTTGCTGATTTTGTATCTTGTACTGAAATATGAGGCGTCATATAGTTTAATCTGAAATCTGACACATTATTAGTGCATTAAATACAGTCGAGAATTATATAAAACTAACCAGTTTCATTAAAAATCTCCTGGATGTGTTTTTAGTAAATACAGTCGAAAGGCTCTGACCAAACAGAACCAAAACTCAGCTGCAAATCAAGATAAAGTCTTCAAAAGATAAAAAAATAATCATTTTTTTTTTTTAAAAGTCTCAACTTCAGCACCATGGACAGCTACAAGAGGATTAACTCGTGTAGAGTAACAGTACAAGAAGTCGACCGCTCATCAGCACAATAAAACACTACAGCTGGTATTATTAGAAGCATTACAAGCCATTTTACAAAAAGAAAACAACTTCAAACTTCAACATAATGCGAAGCAAAAACAAATACAAGTGCTCCTTAAACTCAAAAACAAGCACGGCAGCCTACCTGAAACTGACTTTCTCAAGGGAAAAGTCATACTTTCTCCACAGCACAATTCCACAGCTGTGACTTTGGGTGCTTGCAATCCTGGAGCAGTGAAGTGAAGACGAGCAGACTAGATTCAGCAAAGTTCAAACCATTGTCAGACAACTGTCAGAGGCGTAGTGGAGGAGAAAAAGCATCGAGGCGTGGCCATCAACAGGGAGATCATTACAGGACATTAGCGACATGCCATTATGACTCCTAGAATGCTCATTAAACATTCATTTCGAGGTCTTGTTGATCCGGCAAACACGGGCGTGTGTTCAATGTATTGCTGCGCTCGGAGGAGGTGGGGGGGAGCGCAGATTGGAGCAAAGTGAACGAAAAACGCAGGCTGGAATTGTACTTCCTTCTTGGGGGCAGTGAAGACTTTGCTCTCATATTACAAAAAATGATGTAAAATGATCCGATAATGCGTTGACTAAACCGGTTATACGGGCCTGTCCACTTTCCACTGAAAAAATATCGATGAGCAATCAAGTGAGACAACAGTATGCATTAGGCGAAGTGTTTTTCTTACTAAGGCGATTCTGTGTTCCTTGGTACTGTTAGGCACAGTTGTCTGGAATCATCCAGTTAACAGTGAAATTAAGCACAAAATAATAATAATAATAATGGTATTCATCAGCAACACAAAACAATCCAAGAAGTGTACTCTCCTGGTTTGCTGACGCAGATCCGTTTCTTATTCGTTCGTTGATGTACGGTGTGTGCGTAAAGTTTGGAGTGTGGTGCGCGTCTCTTTGGATTAATTACAGACGGGCCTCACAGTGAAAGCAGCTTTTACTGATGAGATCTGGAGTCTAAACTTAAAGCCCTGGAAAAGAAGCAGTGTAGCATCACGGACTGTGCACAGTTTGAACACTAGATGGAGCAAGTGGACTGAATAAAAAAGACATTATGTGCACGCTCAAAGAAAAAACCTGACTTCAAGCAGAACTGTGTTTTTCTTAGTAATGTTAAAGTCTGCATACAGTATTATTATAAGTAACTTTGTAAGCAGTTAATCAGAATTTGACCTAATATTCCAAACTTTGTCACTGGTCTAAATACACTTAACTGGGGATTGGCTCTCTCTTTTATGACTGTCTTTTTTTCCCCCCTCATTTTTTAATGTAGAACTGAAGCCAATATCTCAATAAAACCACAATTATTCACTATTTATAGCTCAGTTTAGTTCAAGAATTTGTCTCCAAGTGACACTTCATCTTCAAATTCACAAACTAAGTAGATAACAGTGTAAAATTATTTACAAATGCCTCATCCCAGCATGCTGAAGCAACAAATCAATAAATTTAAGCCTGGGAAAAAATAAATATTTCACTTAAAGTGCTAATACAAGATGCTGAGCAGTCAGCCATGCAGCTCATTTATGCTCCTATAAAAAGTTAATTTACTTTAGTAGTTCTGTGTGGTTTGAAAGACTAGATAGGAATAGAAATTGTTCATGGGTCAATAACAATGTATTGATTTACAAGGGATGTGGCTTAAATGACATAAGGCATACTTCAATGATAAAAGCATTTGTTTTCCCATTTACCATCATCGATGTGTTCCATATATGGCTCTCCATAATGGTAGAGAGGAAGTGACCTTTTCCGGAGCCGACTGACCTTTAACCTCACGCATTCTGAGAAAATGTAGTTGGCAAAGGTTGTTTGAAGGTTGAACTTGGTTTTGTCAAAGCATTATCTCAAAAGCAGCTTGCGCCATAAGATAACGAAGCAATCACATACATAAGGGGGATTTTTTTATTTATGTGTTTTACTGTGATGAGATGAGAGGAGAGTGCTTACAAAGTCACAAATGATTAGCTGTTCGATAAACGCTGCACAGTTTCGTATTTCTTTTCACTTCCTCCTGCATGTGACTCGATATGTAATTCTACACACGAGAATGATTGAGATAAGAGATTATTTTTAGATCAAGTTTTATGTGGAGCTCTTTTTTTTCCATTTACTGCGGCAGCAAAAAAAAAAAAATCAAAGATCATGATGCATTTTTAAAAAAACAAAAAACAAAAGTAACATCAGTCTGTTCAATGCAATCTAGTGTTTTTTTTCCTTAACTTATTTTGCTTTTATTGATATAGATAGTGACAGTGATGGTAGACGGAAGATGTGAAAGACAGATGGACGCAGGACCAGCCAGGAGTCGAATTGACGACTCTGCTGCTAAGGGCATCGTTACCTATGTAATATACACTCTAACCAAAGCAAAGTCATGAAACAGATGTAATGCAGTAAGTTGCAATGTTGAAAATAAGACTAGTCTAACTAATTAACTAAAAAATCTTACTTTATTTGGATGTAACTAAAACATCTGAAAAAAATCTTGCAGATCACATAATGTAGCTTGTGAGTTAAAAATGACTACAAATATAGGTTTTAATGGTAGTGGTGTCACATTACAGCTACATGCCGTATCAACTGTGCTCCTTGTAAAATGCAACCATTCGTACAACGGCACATCTGACAGCGTCCCTGTTTAATGGGCATATTATGTTCCTTCTCCCAGATGCATGTTACTACCGGAGCATGTTCAACCTTTATACAATCGGATTTACACTGCAGCATACAGTATCCCTGCCTGGTACCATCTAATACCTTTATTTCTGCCATGAGCAAATACAGACAGACAGCGCTCTCCGCTAATCCCAGGTTTTGCATCAGTTGTCCCACCGCTGATAAATCCATGCCATCACTCAAGCAGACAGTGTGGCCCTTCAG